CGAGTTTATTTGTAAATTTCATTTTTTTTTTAAAATAACTTTTCGTTTCCCCATTAAATATTTCATTTTATGTATTTCTAATTAATGAATATTTATTTTACCGATCAATTTATTCCAGGTCACAAAAAACATAAATACAAGCTTTACAATAAATTATTGTTACTATTTTTGTTGGGATCACCGGAAACTTTACCTCAAACAATTTTATTTACAAAAATGGAAATTACTCTCAACTTATTCTGTAACAAACCTTAGAATAATTGACATGATTTTATACATTGTTAATTGAGACGAATATGGGACGGAATTTCTGAGAATGGGATTTGGAGAAGAAGAAAGAATGAAGAGCTGCGGGAAGTTTATGGAGAACCTGATATTGTGGCATTGATAAAAAGAGCCAGGATAAGATGGTTAGTTCATGTTGAAAGAATGCCAAAGAGGATGCTATATGAGAAGCCGGATGGCAAAAGAAGTAGAGGACGCTATCGGATCAGATGGAGGAAGTGGAGGACGACCTGAGGTGGATGGGTGTTCGAAGATGGAGGGAAGCAGCCCAAGATCGTGGAGATTGGTTGGCGGTAGTGGAGGAGGCTCAGGTTCTTGCAGGACCGTTGCACTATAATAATAATTAATTAAAGTTTTTCTACAAGTGGGGAATCTATAGTTCAGTAATAAAAATCGAAAATAAGCGATTATTTTACGAATACTAGAACCCAAAAAATAGCCGCTTGAGATCAAGCTTCAAATAGTTTTTAAAAAACAAATTCCGTGAGATCTTCTATAAACCTAGGTACATGTTGTTTATTATTTAATGTATTATGATATTTGCAAAAATAATTTCCTAATGACATTTGTCGGACCACCAGTAGGGTGTTTTTAGCTAGAAAATTTTTAGGCATGTGTAAAACAGAGGTCCTTTCATCATTGAAGCTTTAGGAAACATCAAATTTTGAAAAACCTTTTTTTCTCCCTCTAGGAAAAAAATTTTACATGACCTTTATAAGTCAGTGTTCAACGAGAATGGTCAATCAGTCAGGTCGTGAAAACGTGATAGCTGTTACATTATCGGTTGTTGAATAAATCACACTTTCAGAAGACTATTCGGTAGTAGTAGATCCAGGCTTTAATTTTGGAGGGTTTCAACCTGACAGCTTTTATATAAATATATATAAAACCACAATTACTTGGGCAGAAACTTACTAACTTTATAAAATGTTGTTTAAATGATTCTTGAAGTCATTAAAAAAAAATTTTTTTTAGCTATTTATTCAAGATATTTACAAATGTATTACAATATAAATACATCAAGTAAATGTGTACACAAGAATATAATCACTTGAAAACGCTTGTTGAGAAACTACTCACAGGTAGCACTAATACTTCTATATAAGGAGATCACGAGGCCATCTTCTTTTCAGACGCCTCGGAGCGTTATCAGGAATCGAAGAGGAAGCAAGGCTAGAAACGAGAGAATTCGGATGGTTATGAAGTTTGTTATGGAAGGATAGGTATCTGGATTGAGCCAAATCGGAAACATATGGAACATTAAAGTCATTATGGATTATTTTATTTGTGACAAAGTAAGGAGCATTGAGGATTTTACGAAGGATTTTGGATTGTAAGAATTGTATACGAGAGGAATTTGTTGGTTTAGTGGAGCACCACAACTCAACTCCGTAAGTTCAAATAGGTCTTAGTATAGTCATGTATATTAGTTTTTTGGAATTAATTGAAAGTTTAGAGCGTTTTTCTAGTAAGTATTGGAGTAAGCGGAATAAGTCGGGCAGTTTCTTGTCGTTTCAGTCTTGTATGAGGATTGCAAGTGAGACGTATGTCCAGGTGGAGTCCAAGATACCGTATTTGTTCAACAGGGGTGTTAATAAAGGATACTGTAGGATAGGAAGTCATAAGTTTACGACGAAGGGTAAAGGTGATTTGTTGGGATTTATTGGAATTTAGGTGCTGTTTTGCATTGCGAAAAATATTGAATTACAGATCTCTTTCTCACAGAACAAAGATCACGGTGTATGAGAAAGTCATCAGACCAGTCGTAACCAATGGCTCTGAGATTGAGGTGATCTCCAAAGCATCAGAGAAAAGGCTACTTGCATGGGATAGAAGGGTTCTCCGCAGAATCTATGGCCCAGTGTGCAAACAGGGATAATGGAAAATTCGCACTAATAAAGAACTATATGAAATGTATGCGAGGCCGGATTTGGCCTCAATTGTGAGGGGAAACCAGATCAGATGGTTGTGCCATGTGGCGCGTATGCCCCGAGACGCGATTTCCAAACCCTTGCTAGATGATCGGCCTGCTGGAAAACGTGGAAGGGGAAGACCACGCCTGAGATGGCTAGACCAGGTAGAGGACAGCCTGAAAAGGATGGGAATACCAAGATGGAGAATGTTCGCTCGGGATAGAGGAGAGTGGCGAAGGATTATAAGAGAGGCCCAAGTTCTTACAAGACCGTAGCGCCAAAAATAAATAAATAAATAAAATTGAAGTGTCTATCAGTAAGGTAGGATCTGATGATGAGAAAGTATGTAGGTGGGAGAAATTTACGGAATTTGTAAAGCAATCTCGGGTGCCAGACTCGATCAAACGCCTGTTCAATGTCGAGAAAGACTCCAGTGCAATATAATTCGCGCTCCAATGCAGAGGAGACAACGTCTACCACACGATGGCATTGCTGGATAGTGGAATGGGATATACGGAATCTAAATTGGTGATCAGGGATTATGTGGTTAGAATCAAGGATGGGATACAGGCATTTTAAGATGAACTTTTCCAGGATTTTGCCCATGATGGGTAAAAGAGAGATAGGACGGTAAGAGGATGGGTATTCTGGAGTTTTTTTAAAAATGTAATCACAAAAAAAACTTTTAGAGATAATCTCTTTTATATTTATTTCATAAAACGTGGTTATATTTAGTAGCCGTATATGCATTATAATTTTTAAAAATATAACACATTGTTATTGTTCAAATATTTATCTTAGGTCTCCCATTGTCGCCCATGAATCCTACATATTGGCCAACATCCCTTAAAATCGTCCTGATATCCCTTATATATTTATCGCCTATCAGATTTCCTCTTCCTAGACCACAATCAAATCCCTGGATGATCTTTAATCAGATCATAGTCCAGTTCCATATTATTATATTCAAATCTCGCTGCCATACTTTAACCTTACTTAACCTAACTGAAAATTATATAGCTACCGACAAATCTCTATGGACGACCACCAAAAAGCTTCTGATATTTAAAGACTTTAATCACCCACTTCTTACTGAGTCCCAAACCTGGCCCTATTCCAATGAAGAAAAATCCCAAATATTCGGTTAAAACCTATTCCAAACTTTAAATCCACATCCAAATATTCTTAATTCAACTCACATCGAATGTATTGGATATCCCCTCCTAATATCCCTTTCATCTAAAGCATTTCCTTCCACTGAAATATCCAACATCAGTCACACATTACCTTCACGTAAAGCTTCTTGACGCGACCTACTTACATCCCAGATCTTGAAACTTATTTCTCAAAAAGCTATCATATTCCTTATTTACATATATAATGCTGTCCTCCGATCCACATATTTCCTGACCCTTGAAAAATATCTATAATCGAAATAATACACAAACCCAAAAAGCAACCTAAATACCCATCATTTTACCATCCCATTTATATATTACGTATCATGAGCAAAATTCTTAAAAAAAAAAAAAACGCCTGCATCCGACCCTTTGGACTGCTGTACACACTCCGTAAATTCCTACACCCTGCGTACTTTCTCATTATCTATACCTACCTTACTGAAAAATACTTCAAAGTAAATCACAATAATGTTTGTTCATCCCACTCTGCTCAGTATGTGCGCGTTCTTCAAGGTAGTATTCTCGATCACATCCTCTATACAGTTTATACAGATGACATCCCAACCCATTCTGACACTATCATCACCACGATCGCCGATGAAACGTATTTGCTGTATGTTAGTAATGACCCTTTAATTTCATCCCAAACCCTTCAGTCACATATCACAAACCTTAAAGAATGGTGTCAAAACGGGAGAATAAAAATAAATTTCAATTAACCACCTTGACCCTCAGTCGTAAACCTACAGTATTCCTCAACAATATTCCACATTTCCTGTTGGACAAATCTGCTACCTAGGACTTCACTTGGACAAACGTCTTACTTGGAAATCGCATACAAGAGTGAAACCACAAAAAACTACTCAACGTTTCCGGTTACTCCAAAACTTATTAGACGAACGCACTAAACTTTCAATTAATCACAAAAGGCTCATTTGCATGACTGTATTAAGACCTATATGAATATGCGGAGTTAAGCTTTCGAGTACCACGAAAGCATCGAATTTCTATCCAATTCTTACGATCCAAAATCCTTTGTAAATCCTTAATGCTCCATATTTTGTCATAAATATAATCATTCATAAAGACCTTAATTTTCCACAGCCCCGGTTGCTCCAAAACTTATTAGAATTAGAATCCACTTGTTTGGATTGTTGTTAGAAGCCATTCTTGTTCCTCGATTCCTGAAAGCTCTCCTAGACGTATAAAAATATCTTCTTACAATTATTTAGGCATTACCATTGAGTATTATCTCGACAAGCCTGTTCATGTCATTATTCCTGTTTTGTGCATATTTTCTGATTGTATTTATTTAATACAGTTGTAAATTTAAAAAAAATAAATAAATAAATCACTTTCTGTAATGAAAAAATAAATTATTATCCATTTTGGGAGGAGGGAGGGGAGAGGCTTCAGCCTAAACTCCAGGACTACAATCCTATACCAACTTTCGTTATAATATATTTTGGTTATGAACTCTGTAGGGTTTTTCTCACACATTAATAAATAATTGTGAATAATATAATAAACTTTAATATTAGTAATATTTAAGCATTTAAACAATAACATACAGCATTTCATAAAATAATTGGTATTACAAAATCTATCATCTAATACGTCACAACAGTAACCTCATATTAAATGCTTACTTTGTGCAATGATTCACACTTCTAAACGATTCGTTCAGTAAAGACTTGACAGATGCTACTGTCATAGTTCATTGGTTCTTTCGTGGATTAGTCATTTTACTTCTTATCCATGATTTTGTTATCGTTGAGTATTTAGTTTAGCAAATATTAAAGTATCATTTAACAGCATTAAAAATGAGTTTTCTTAGCAAAGTTTTCCTTGGCAAAAAGGAAGAAAAAGCACCCACAGCTTCTGAAGCTATACAAAAGCTTCGCGAAACTGAGGATATGTTAATTAAAAAGCAGGACTTTTTGGAAAAGAAAATTGAGTCTGAATTAGGTCTTGTGAAGAAAAATGGTACTAGTAATAGAAGAGGTATGTTTTTTTTTTTTGCTTATAATGCATAGTAATTCATATCAAGTAAATCATAACAGTTAACTTTAAATTACCTTTGGTGTAACTCTAAAAAAAAAGAATTTTAAGTTTATGTATTGAATCAGAAAACAGCCCTGCCCATAACTTTTGAGTATTTAATTATCATCTATAATATTTTGATGTCAGTGTTATCACAAATCGAACAAAGTAATAAAATAACTGATTTGTTGTTATATTTTCTATTACTTTGTTTATGAGTTCATTAGAGTTCACAAATCAAATGGTTTTTGGATTATAATTAATAAAGCAGTATAATTTGTTGAATGAGGTATTATTTTTAAAGCAAATATACTGAAATGTTTACGTAAACGTTTGTTACATGTTGTCCATTAATACACCAAATGTCTAAAAAGTATGTCAATCATGTTATTGCAATATAATTTCAAGTCTTTATTATTTTATTATGTATAGGCAACTCGTAAGCCATGTGTTATTATTTATATTAGAATGTCAATAGATTCAGCAGCCATTGAAGCTTAATCTAACAATTGTATTGTAGAACAATTGTGTAAAAAATACAATATGATAGGTTGCTTTCACACCATTACTTTTGCCATTGTGTCACGACTAATCCGTTTACTTGATTAAATTATACTGTCAGCTAGACTGATTAGGTGTGACTCGGAGGGTAAATGTTTTATAGTGTGAGTGCACTCTGTGCCTCTCAAAATAATTTTTTTATCAGCAAGATCATAAGATGGAATATTTATTCATTATTCCTTAGCAGGCCTTAAAGTTTCTATAAGTACAATCTCAGTGCATTATACCATGATTAATTTTTAAACTTGATTTAATCTTTTTTATATTAACATGATGACATTTTTGTATTTGAAGTCTTATGTATGAAAAAGGCCTGACCTAGTTGTTTTTTTTTTAATGAAAATGTGTTCAATTATCTCTTTTCTTCAATAATCAAATTTATTTATTTATTTTATTTTCTCATTAGTTTTCTAATTTATGACTACTGTTTCTAAAACTTATTGAAGTATTTTATTCACATATGACATTCAATTTACCTAGTTTTCTTAATAGTTCCTTATACAGCCGACTGTATTAGGATGTAAATATCAAGCAAATATATCAATATATATTCTATTGATTTTTTCAAAATACTAATTCGATATTGCAAAAAAAAAATGTATCCAGCCTAGATATTCTTAATCTTTGAAAAGAGTTATGATGTAAATATTTAACATTAATATTGATATTTCGGGCCTTGATGTTTTTAATTTTTCACAGAAGAGGAACAGGATTAACATTGAATTGAAGTCTTGGATTGTTAATAGCTTTGATTGTAACTATTAAATATTTATTTATTGTTTATAATTATATACTTTCCTACCACTTCTTGGTCAGAAAATTATTTAGGTTCATCCTAATTGTCGATGTACCTTTTTGAACGGGCACCTTGAGTCCTAATTTTCAACCATTAGTCTGTTTCTTGCTTCCTTTTTTAATTTTTTGTAGGGTTTCGGCCCACAGATTAAGAAATGGGTAGCGTCTACTTAACAGCTGAAAAAACTTGTTTTACAATAAACTGTATTGTCATAACTTCTGAAATGATTTTAGATGAATTTTCCTAAAGTAAGAAAAAGCAAGAAAATAAAAGGACATAAAAAAGTAATACGTTTTATGGTTAATAATTTGGCACAAAATTAAATTCATACACAAAAAGTATAAAACTGGATCAGTAATAGCATAGAAATATAGTGTACTGAAGTTGGTGCATGTTTTCGAAGTATTCTGCATGTTGCCATGGAAACCCATCTGTTAACCTTTCTTTGTTTTTTAAATAACTCGAACTATACCTCTTCTGTAACATTGTTGATGTTCCTTTGAAAGATAGCTATGTTGTCTATAAAGTAAAATGTAAGAAATGATAAAAGGAAACATTATGCAGACCTATCACTTATTATAGAAGATATCGCAAAGAATTTTTGTTTTGGACATTCATAAAAAGTGGTTTGCAAAGTTGCATTGCTGGATAGTCCAGATGTTTGTTATATATATGTGTCAGGCAGTAAAAAATAAGTTTGTATTAAATTACAGTGTTTTATTAAAAGTTAGACAGTTGAAGAAAAACGGTAAATCGGGAAATGGGTAATCGAGGTATCACTGTACATAATCAAACCAGGACATATGGGTTCCAGAGCAAATCTGGGACAAATTTGTCAAAATATAGGACTACCCCATCGAAAGCAGAATGTATGTATATATATTCATAGTTGTTATAATAGGCCACTCAGGCAGTCAATATATAGCTGAAATTCAATATGAACTGTGTAAGAATCCTTTTAGTTTGTGGGTCATTAATTTTATTATTATATTTTAGCGTATAACGATATATTATTTTGATTTTGGGTTAAAGGATTGTTTTAATAATATTTGATTTATCCAGAATTTTTAAACCCTTTCTTTATGCTCATTCCAGTTGCAATTCAAGCTCTTAAAAGAAAAAAGAGGTATGAGAAACAATTGCAACAAATTGATGGTACCTTGGCTACCATTGAAATGCAAAGAGAAGCTTTAGAAGGTGCTAATACTAATACAGCTGTCCTTCAGACAATGAAGTTTGCTGCTGATGCATTAAAAACCGCCCATAAACACATGTATGTACTAAATAATTTTTACTAAGCCTGCCCATATGCTTAATGTTGTCTATGTTAGCTGATTTTAATTGAATATTTCCCCCAGCTTATTGATATGTTCCATAATATCCAATAAAACTATTTATCCAGTTCTATATTAACTATCTATCATAGAATAAATTTTATTTGATGTCTTTCAATTTCTAAACGTTTCGTTAGATTTGTTTATTTTTTACTTATTAGTGATTATTATCATTTATAGATTGACTTCTTATATGATTTCTCATTTTTTCATTAGTACTTTGCTTTCGATACGTATATTATTTTGTTTATAGGGATGTTGACCAAGTTCATGATATGATGGATGAAATTGCTGAGCAACAAGATGTCGCAAAAGAAATATCGGAAGCTATTTCTAGCCCTGTCGCTTTTGGAAATGACATTGATGAGGTAAATAAATCTTTTAAGGATTTTTTTTTAACTCTGAATAAATTATGAAAGTTGGTCTTTTAAATGTTAAATCCTGCTTCATGTTAGATATGTTAGTAAAAGTATGAAATTTGAGATATTCAAGATTCAATTTAAGTTAGACATAATGAAAACCTTTCTCTATTCCTCTTGAGGGAGATTTGTCATAATAAACTAACTTATTAAGTTTTAACTTAAAGTATAAGGGAAAACTTTATGTTAAAAAGAAACTTCATACGTTACCAAGTGACAGTTACGGAAGTGTTGCTTGGATGGTTCTATCAAGTTCTTCCAGATTACTTAACATAAATTAACATTTGATATTATTTGAAAAACTATTTTTTTTTATAAGAAATCATTGTACATTTACTATAAAGTATTCTTTTAATTAAATATGCTAAAAATAAAAGAAAGCCACATTTGAACCTGAAAGAACCCTAGCTATGTTTTCGAGAGAGAGAAAAAATTTTAAATATTCAAAAAAGAACTCTTAATATTTCTGATTCCATCTCTAAATACTTTCAATTTAAATTTATGAACGTAACAGGTGTCAAAGTATTTCTTCAAATGTTATTTAATAAATTAGATATGTGTGTGGTCTTAAAAAACTCCATGGCGCTAAGAAAGTTAGTGTCTAAAATTGTAAGAACTATATATTTTATATAGTTATATTTATTATATTTCATATATAACTGAATATGCCTATTATTTGTTATTTTTGTGATGTTTGTCTTCTTAACATTCATTTTTTTTTCTCTTTATAGGAGGAACTTGAAAAAGAGCTAGAGGAATTAGAACAAGAAGAATTAGACAGAGAACTTCTTGGTACGGGCCCGACTGCAGATCAATTACCTGATGTCCCTGCCACTCAATTACCTGCAAAACCAAAGCCAATTGGTAATTATGCTTGATTAATACTTGAAAGAATATTCATAAATTATTTTAATTGCAATTAATCTTGACTATAATATTACTAGATATTCTTTTTGTATGTTTAATTAATTAATAATTAGATTATTCTTGTTAATATTAAAATTATTTAATTTTGAAATACTTCTTTTTATTAAATTATAAACCTTTTCTCAAGTCTTGAGTAGCCTTGGAGAAATTAATTGTTAGGCTACCAAGAATAAGTTGCTTCGTAATGCAGAAAACACCAAGATCTCTTCTTGGTTCTTTGCATCTCCCATATTTCCTTTTTTAATGTCATTTAAGTATCCCCCAAAATATAATGGTAAATTTGAAAGGCAAATAATATTTCTATTCTAAAAAAATTAATGTAAAAAATTGATTGGAAAGGAAGAGTGTTTTTTTCTATTACATAACTTATTTACTGTATTAATCAACTAATAGTTATCTCTATTTAAATCAAGAGCCAGTAGTATAAATAATGCTAATATAACTGAAGCAACATATTATGATGCAATACGTCATTTCAACCAAATAAAAATTATATATATACTAGTAGGCCTATGCGAAAAATTCGTACAGCATATTGTTATCAAATGCCAAATTAATAAGAAAAGAAAATAATGCAACGTATCAAAAGATAAAGAAATCAAATGTTACTTTATCGATAAATATAATCGACAAAAGAAACAAAAATTAATTTAAATCTTCATTTTCGTTTGGAATCAACATGTTTACAAATTTCAATAAGCTGTATCTTTGTTAAAAATTGTCCGATTTTGATGATTTCTTTTTCCTTTTGTAGGGAATTAAGTAATCTTTTATATAATCATGGGCATAACCAAGGGAAAAGTGTGTAATTTTTTAGTTATTCGCAAATAAAGTTTGTTTTCTTTCATACCTTGTTTGCCTGAATTTTTGGGGTGATTGGACTATTTTGCCCGCCTGAAGGAGAAGGAAACCTTCGAAATTGGTGGCTCAATCTTGAGATTTGGTGAAAAGTTAACTATGATATGGCTTGCCAATCAAAAACACCATCGATAAATAATATAAACTCCTCCTCTCTCGATCATAGAGACCTCAAGTCGACGAAATGAGACATGTATTCAATGACAGTACTACAATTAATGTAAGGTTGTGTGGATGCGAACTCTATACCTTGCGTCATATCAAAAATAGTACGATTCTGGGCTTAAATATGCAGGATCCGATAGTTCCGGATGAACTATCCGGGTCTTGCTGTACGCATCAAAATCTTCAAGATCCAATTTGTCCCGTATCGATCTACAGACCTACCACTGTTCCAGTATTGAAGTCTAACAAAAGTTTGTATCAACTTTACTTATTTTAGAAAGAAAAACAAAAGTGGAGAATACGATTCTCTAACCCCCCATAAAATTCTGAATCCAACGGTACCCCATTCATGGTATTTGAGCATGACAGGAGCTTATGCTTATATTTGGTACCAAACCGATTTCGAGCCTTACTGTAATAATCTATTTGGGGATATATATATATATATATATATATATATATATATATATATTGGCTTTTAGCTATTATTTACTTATTTGTTGATAGTGTAATTATATTTGGTACCAAACCGATTTCGAGCCTTACTGTAATAATCTATGTGGGGATATATATAGCATTTCCAAGTCAATTTCAACCTTTTCCAAATCAAATTCAACCTTTTCCAAGTCAAATTAAACCTTTTCCATTTCAAATTCAACTTTAGAATTTTTGTCAATTTTCGATTTTTTTCGAAATGAAGGCCACTTACTATATTATCGACGGCATAGATTTTAAAAAATACAAAAAAAAATTTGATTACGCAGTTGCATATCCATTTATTTTAACATTTTAGATTTTTTCAGTGTGATATTTCTATGTGATATTCAATTATTTCCAAGTCAAATTCAACCTTTTCCAAGTCAAATTCAACCTTTTCCAGATCAAATCAAACTTTTTCCAAGACAATTCAACCATTTCCATTTCAAATTAAACCTTTTCCAATTCAAATTCAACCGTTTTCATTTCAAATTAATGTTTTAAGTTTTTGTAAATTTTATATATATTTTTTAAATAATGGCCATCCCCTCCCCCCCTCCAATATGAAAGTCTATTATTATGCTCTCCTAAGTAGAATTTTCACTTAAGGATATCGATTTATTGTACCTATTCGGATTTCTTAGGGACTAGTATTATGCTGTCCTGTACCTAGTTTTGAAAATAACCTCCATTTTAAGATACGTGACTGCGTTTCGAATCATTTAAGTTTTTTTGACAAATTCGATATGTGGGTGTATTTTTATGTTTCCCGATCAGTAAATTTTGAAAATGACATCCATTTTATGTTTACGCCACTGTGTTTTGACTTATTTAAGTTTTTAGAATTTATCCAATATAAAGGTCTATGTTTCCGGAGCCATAGATTTTGAAAACTACCTTCATTTTAAGATTAGGCCACCGCGTTTCGACTTATTTGAGTTTTTCGGATATTTTTCATATGAGGGTGTATTTTTATGTTTCCGGAGCTGTAGATTTTGAAAATGACCTCCATTTTAAGATTAGGCCACCACGTTTCGACTTATTTGAGTTTTTCGGATTTTTTTCATATGAGGATGTATTCTTATGTTTCCGGAGCCGTAGATTTTGAAAACGACCTCCATTTTAAGATTAGGCCACCGCATTTCAATTTCTTTGAGTTTTTCGGATTTTTTTCATATGAGGATGTATTCTTATGTTTCCGGAGCCGTAGATTTTGAAAACGACCTCCATTTTAAGATTAGGCCACCGCATTTCGGCTTATTCAAGTTTTTCAAATTTATCCAATTTAAAGTTCTACTTTTATGATGCCGGAGCCTTAGTTTTTAAAACGACTTACATTTTAAGATTAGGCCACTGTGTTTCGGTTTTGTTAAGTGTTTTTGATTTTTCCTTCGAATAAAAGACATAATACGAAGGATTAATTTATTTTTCAATAAATAAATAAAAATATCTAATCAAAATAAATAAAATATGTATTGTCTCATTTTTAATTTAATTTTAGTTATCTTTTTTAATGTAGTGGTCTCCTATCACAAAATTATAAGATTTCGAACAATTAGCTGAAAAATTTGAATACGGAAGGTTAAATTTATTACCATTTGCTTTTTGGCTTTTTAGTTTGTATTCTGTGGTTAATTTTACTTTAGCTTCATAATATTTATTTATTTATTCATACTCGAAAACATATTGATGAAACTTTGTATTGAAAAAATCCAAAATGAAGCCTAATTAATCAAGATGCAGCGGCTTAATCATAAAATGGAGCTTAAATATTAGATAAATTTAAATATTAAAGATTAGAAAAATTTCAATATGTCTCGGATAACATATAAGTAGATCCTTATACCGAAAAAGTAAAAAAAAAAACTTTTATAATCCAAAACAGTGGCATAAACTTTAAATTGGGTCATTTACAAAATGGGGGAAATCTACTGCTCCAGAAACATAAAATTAGACCTTTATACTTGTTAAATTCTAAAAATTTAAATAAGTTGAAACGCAGTTGCGTAATCATAAAATAGAGGTCATTTTCAGAATCTACTACTCCAGAAACATAAAATTAGACCTTTATACTTGTTAAATTCTAAAAATTTAAATAAGTTGAAACGCAGTTGCGTAATCATAAAATAGAGGTCATTTTCAGAATCTACGGTTCCAAAAACATAAAAGTAGACCTTTAAATTGGATAAATTCGAAAAACTTAAATAAGTCAAAATGCAATGGCGTCATCATTAAATGGATGTCATTTTCAAAATCTACGGCTCAAGAAACATAAAAGTAGACCTTAATATTGGATAAATTCGAAAAACTTAAATAAGTCAAAACGCAATGGCGTAATCATAAAATGGAGGTCATTTTCAAAATCTACAGCTCCGGAAACATAAAAATACACCCTCATATGAAAAATATCCGAAAAACTCAAAGAAATTGAAATGCGGTGGCCTAATCTTAAAATGGAGGTCGTTTTCAAAATCTACGGCTCCGGAAACATAAGAATACATCCTCATATGAAAAAAATCCGAAAAACTCAAATAAGTCGAAACGCGGTGGCCTAATCTTAAAATGGAGGTCATTTTCAAAATCTACAGCTCCGGATACATAAAAATACACCCTCATATGAAAAATATCCGAAAAACTCAAATAAGTCGAAACGCGGTGGCCTAATCTTAAAATGGAGGTTATTTTCAAAATCTACAGCTCCGGAAACATAAAAATACACCCTCATATGAAAAATATCCGAAAAACTCAAATAAGTCGAAACGCGGTGGCCTAATCTTAAAATGGAGGTCATTTTCAAAATCTACAGCTCCGGATACATAAAAATACACCCTCATATGAAAAATATCCGAAAAACTCAAATAAGTCGAAACGCGGTGGCCTAATCTTAAAATGGAGGTCGTTTTCAAAATCTACGGCTCCGGAAACAAAAAAGTAGACCTTTATATTGGATAAATTCTAAAAACTTAAATAAATCAAAACACAGTGGCGTAAACATAAAATAGATGTCATTTTAAAAATTTACTGATCGGGAAACATAAAAATACACCCTTATATCGAATAAGTCAAAAAAACTTAAATAATTCGAAACGCAGTCACGTAATCTTAAAAAGGAGGTTATTTTAAAAAACTACTCATACGATAACAGACCCACGCATCGAAAAATTAAAGATAATTAAATAAATAAAAAAAGGTTGAATTTGAAATGGAAAAGGTTTAATTTGAAATGGAAAAGGTTGAATTTGACTTGGAAAAAGTTTAATTTGATTTGGAAAAGGTTGAATTTGACTCGGAAAAGGTTGAAATTGACTTGGAAATGCTATATATTGACTTTTAGCTATTATTTACTTATTTGTTGATAGTGTAATTATGTTGTTATTAGTGTGTTTAAGAGTGAATTTGAAAAATATTGCAAGACTCAGTTGTACCTAAGAGTAAGGATAAAATTGGTTACCTTTTCTGAAAGGGATGGGGCACAGGAAAAGTGCCCAATTCTGTGAAAATTTTTCTGGGTAAAAAATGATATGTATTACTATAGCTATCAAAATAAAATATAAGCTAGGTACTTACCAAGACTTTCAATTTTTGCCACTTTTTCTTACACTAAAAAGCTATTTTCTAAAATCTAAAATTTGATATTTTCTTGAAATTATTCTGAGCTATTTTCGTTGAACTACTTTACGCAACAGTCTTTGGAAGAATGTGCAACTTACTGACTACAAATATGACTAGATAATCTCATAAAACAAAAAAAATTCTCTCCGGGTCAAATGACCTGTTGTGGTAGATATCGGTATACAACAAGGATTACTCAGAATAAACAAAACAAAAATATTTTTATAACTGTTTTACTTAGAAAAAGTCATGAAGTCAAATGTGCAAACGCAATAAAATTATACATGCATTTTCAATGGAAAAGTTCAAAATGGGTCATTTGACCCGTTATGGTATGTTTAGTGTTAATACTTAGGCAATTGAAGTTTGACGGAAAATATAAACTTGTCTTTTTAAGGGAAGTTTCACTGTATGTACTTAATCATATTTTATATTTCATTATATTATATATGTGGTAAAGCCAAATGAGATATATTATTCATTCATTCTGTTTAGCTTTGTGATATTATTTTCTGTTATGTGACAAAGTTGAACTCATTTGAGTTTTATATAGAAGATGATCTAAAACTAAATTAATTATAAACATACTATTTTATAATTGTAAATTATGGAATAGATTACATTTTTCATTTTCTTTATCATTTAATCTTATATGCATTACTTTTTTTTTTTTTAGCATCAGAAGATGATGAAGAATTAAGACAATTGCAGCAGTGGGCAACATGAGTGAAGGATCAGTATTAATGTCTCATAATTAATATTGTTAAAATATATTTGTAACAACTTATCCTTTTTTTTTGTGGCTTTATAACATTTATAAATAAAATCGTTAAGGTAAATAAGTTGTATTTTGCGATGCCAGAAATAGTGATTATTGTAATCCAGTATTGTTTTATATTTAATAATAATTAAACCTATTTTAATTATAATTATCCTGCCTTGTTCTGGTTATGTTGTATGATTGATGTGATCAAGTATTGTTATATATTAAAAATTGTAATATTATTTTTAATAGCAATAGTCTTGTCTTGTTTTGGTTATGATAGTTATTTAACATTATCAAAATTTAAGTGATAAATCATGTAGCTTTCCCATCTATATTATAGTGAAATTTCTATAAAGTGTGAGCCACAGATATCACCTAAACAAATATTTATCGTCCAATCATATTTGGTTCTCACTTTGATACACTTTTACATCTCAAAATAATAAAATTCACGCTTTCAGCCAGGAAACAAATTAATCAATAAAAGTCTTACAGACACTTACTTATCACCTCCATGTTGCTTTGCCATAGTCACTTTGTCATAAATATCCTGCTTAATCATCTAATCTGCAATATGCTATTTTAATGGTAAAATTCAAAAGGCCATAAGTCAGGACTGTATATTGTAATTCTATATTCTGGTTTGGAGAGAGATTGTTACTAAAAATACTGGTTGAAATCTCCAAATTAGGAAGTAAACAGGTCATCAAATGTTATCTATGAATTCTCTCTTGTAGTGGTTTACCTATATATTGAAAAGGGGATCCAGAAGAAATAGCATAGTGGAAAGAACCATCAATGCCTTCCATTGATAAGAGGAGTTTAGGTAAGCTCTTTAGTAGTGACGGGCATATTTATATTCAAAAATATAAATATGAATACCATTTATATTTATATATATTCATAAAAAGTAATATGAATACAGAAGATACGTATTCACGGCTGTAAATATAAATATGGAGGTATTCACGATTGTAAAAGTGAATATGGCTGTATTTACAACTGTAAAAGTGAATACGGCAGTATTCACATTTACTAAAATGAATACGCTTAAATTTACAGGATTGAATGGAAATATTTTCATACAACCTAATTAACGAATACTCTTATTTATTAAGGGAGTGGGGTAGCTCAGTGGTAGGGCTCTGAGCTTCTAATGCAAAGGTCCTAGGTTCGAACCCCGACTCATGGCAAAATATTTATTTATCTGTTTCATTGGCCGTGGGGTGACTCTGGGTTGAGAGTCCCTCCTGGGGCACACCCAGCCTCTATAAAGTGGGTACCCTTAATTAAATAATTAATTAAGGGAGAAAACCTGGCAGCTGAGCGTGATCTCGGTCAAATCACCTCCTTGCTCAACCGTTGACCTAGAAACAGTACTTGCCCTAAATAGTACTGAACCCCAGACCCTTCATGGGTTGTAGTGGTACAGGTTTTTTTTTTTTCTTTCTTATTTATTAAAAATATATTTACTATATATATCATTTGATTTTTATGTATAGTATTGTATTCTTCCTTTTAAAATATGTTATGTTAATTATGTTACAATGTGTTGTGTTAATTATCACTCGCAATGTTTGTACGTAATGTAAATCTCGGGCCTTTGTATTTACATTTGTAAAAGTGAATACGACTGTATTCACGTTTATTAAAATAAATACGCTTAAATTTACAGAAGTGAATGGAAATATTTTCACACAACCTTATTAATGAATACTCTTATTTATTAAAAATAAATAAAATAAATAAATTTACTATATATATAATTTTATTTTTATATATAGTATTATATTCTTCCTTTTACAATATGTTATGTTAATTATGTTACAATGTATTATTAATGCGGAAATATTTTCACACAATCTTATTAATGAATACTCTTATTTAATCAAAAAAATATATTTTTTTAAAAATTTACTATATATACCATTTTATTTTTATATATAGTATTATATTCTTCGGGCATCGCCATCCTCCCTCCCCCTAATAAAAATTCTTAGGAGGTGAGAATATTGGACTTTCTTAAAGAGCTGGTACTGTCTTGAAAAAAACTTGAAAATCAATATCACTATCATCCAGATTACAAGAGCCTGCTTAACAAACAGACTCAGTTTTGCTATAAACTTCATACATTGTTCTATATGCAAAACCTAACACATTAACAAATATATTCACACATTACACACTGAACAGCAAGTACGGGAAAGTCACCATTCAAATTTGACAGCTCTTGTCCCTTTCTTTGCTTCAACTTAAGTCTGTCGTGCACACGTATTCCCCGTTCGAATATCCAGGGTATCGTTCCCAGTGTTGTACCTACCTTGAACGTCTATTAAACTTATCTTTATTGCTATTAGCAGTCCATAAGTAAAGTCTGTGCGTCTAGGATCATAGACGTAGACTTTCCACTCTAGTACGGGGGAAGGTGGTGCGATGGATCCAACAAAAAAAATTGCTTGAGAATTTATATTACATACAAACATTCCGAATGATAATTAATATACCATATTGTAAAATAAAGAATATAATATTATAAATAAAAATAAAATAGTATATATAGTAAATATATTTTTTATATAAATAATTTAATAATTTTTTTTTTATAATAAATAAGATTGTGTAAAAATATCTGCATTCTCTTCTGTAAATTTAAGCGTATTCATTTTAATAAACATGAATACTATCGTATTCACTTTTATAAGTGTAAATACAAAGGCTTGGGAATTTATATTGCGTACAAACATTACGAGTGATAATTAATATAACATTCTAAAAGGAAGAATATAATACTATATGTAAAAATAAAAAATAAATGTAAAAAATATAATATGTAAAAATCAAATGATATATATATTAAATATATTTTTTTATATAAATTATTTAATAAATACATTTTTTTTTAATAAATAAGAGTATTCATTAATAAGGTTGTGTGAAAATATTTCCATTCACTTCTGTAAATTTAAGCTTATTCATTTTGGAAAACGTTAATACTACCGTATTCACTTTTACAGGTATAAATATTGCCGTATTCACTTTTAAAATCGCGAATATGGCCATATTTATATTTACAGCGGTGAATACTTATCTTCTGTATTCATATTGCTTTGTATGAATATAAATATATTCATTAGTACCATAAATATATTTATATTTTTGAATATAAATATGACCATCTCTGCTCTTTAGAACCTAAAAAAAAAATCCTAAACTTAATACAAGAATAGCTGATTAAATATAGTAGTGAAGTGAAGCAAAAGGTCTGATATAATCTTCTTTTCTCTATCTGAATAAAAGGAGAAATGCCTGAGGGCTCGAATGAGTAGAAATCCTAAGGTGTATCACTTCTGTCAAGTTTCTACCAGATTTTTTCAGGAATATTGTACCATACACTAAGAGACCGCTGGGTATCAGTGTTATTCGAATAACTTACTAAATTATTCAGAAAGATTCATCATAAATTATTATACATGACAAGCTCAAGAGACAATCTAAAAATCATCTGTACCGGACCTAAAAAAAGGCAGTAAAGAATAAGAGAAGAATGAATTACTCAGAAATATTATCACTTCACTTCATTGTTCCATTTTTTGTTTAGAGGTAGTAATTCTCACACTTACAGGCCATCTTAAAAAAACTAATGCGAACTCATAAATATTTGAATTCCAGGCATTGATAAGAAACAATATCTCTAAATATTAAAACATAATACATAACAATAAAAAGGGAAGAATCAGAAACTTTATTTTTTAAATTTTATAACTAATGCCTAATTGATCATTTTTGTCAATAAAATGGAAAAAGATTAAACACGTATTTTATAATGTTTACATTCTAAAATACATTATGTAGATTGATATAATTATTGAGAATGAATAGGATAAAAATAATGCCTTTACAATAGCAAGGACAAAACTATTTTATCTTCATTTAAAAAAAATTTTGAGTATATTATAAATTCTCCTAAAAATGATTCCTTTTATAATGATGTAGAGATGGTTGACCGTTGATATAATATGAGAAGGAGTTAGTCGAGGGTGCGGTCAAATAAATAAAAAAATTAAAATGGTTATTAGGGTGCGGTCAAATAAATAAAAAAATTAAAATTAAAATAAAAATTTTTATTTTATTTTTATTTTTTCATCATGTTTGTATCTTTTGTAGCCCTGAAGACGACCTGCAAAGTGGGTCGAAACGTCGGCAAAAATTAAAATAATTTATATATTTTAATTTTTTTATTTATTTGACCGCACCCTCGACTAACTCCTTCTCATATGATTCCTTTTAATTTAAATTTAACATAAGCAATAGTAGTAACAGTAAAACTGTAAGTTATTCGAAGCAATACTTTATACATTCAGTACCATACAATTTTAACAGGAAATACTCTATTTACTATTAATTTTTATAGTACTATTTAAAAACTGTTTGGAAAGCTGTTCTCAGTCTATCAGCTCACCATATTTACTACTAGTTGGAGTGATAGAATTTTGATACAGGTAGGGAGATGGAATTCATACTGATTTAACTTCAGCCACTCCACATGAACCAACATAGGATTTCACATTCACAGTTGTTCCACATTCCGTTTGGTATGAAATTGTTAGAATAGACTTATGGGTATATTACTGGGTTGGGGTGAAAATGTCGGCAAAAAAGGGTTAATAATCAGGCTTTCATAAAGTAATACATCTATACCAATTTTAGTTAAAATATCTCTTCTTATGACATAAGAAAATGTAGAGAGGCTGAGATGTTTATGATGAAATAAATATATGGTTATAATCATATCTGTAATGTGACAAAATGCACTTATGTAATAGAAATTATCAAGGAAGTATAAGGATATTTGTTCAGTTAAGCATTGATATAGAGATTAGTTTAAGTTTATTTATTTATTCAGAAATATTACAACCCTGTCACAATTTACATTTATAATAGTGTTCAGAGAGCACATTCACACTCTATTTACAATAAAATAAATACACTTTATTTAAAATAAATAATACAGAAACTAATAACAATAAAAATAAATGTATATAAACAAAAGAGCTAAATTAATGAAAATAACAACTGAAACACATGCATACTATACAATATTTACAGAACACATTCACTCAGAAGAACTCTGAGCCAAGCCTTTCTTCCCACTCGTGGAAGGAAAGGCAGGACTCTAGGAGATTCCAGCGCCTCGCACTCAGCCACATTACTGATATTAAGGACAAGTAGAGGCTAAGGAGGGGCGCTATAATCACACATACTTGGCTATTTGAGATTAAAGAATTATTGTCACATAATCCAATTTACAAGCATTGTCATTTCATTAAAGCAGTACAAATAATGCTTAAACTAATTTTAGCCTGATTTAAAATTCAGTTCTCTTGACATGAACATCTTTTTTTATCTTCAAAAGATGGCTAGGATTCGGCTATAAGCATAACTTCTCACCTACAACATATACCAGATCATGTTACTATTTAAGACAAAATAGAGTTATTTTCATACAAATACACAGACATATGGATATAAAACATAAATAATATCTATACTAAAATTAAATTTTTATATAATTTTCAAACAGATTTATCTAAAAATTACAAAATAAGTCATCTGCAATTACAGGTTTTCAGTTAATTAATTTTTTGACTTATAATAATTATGCAAGGCATATAGATCAATACAAACAGCTAGTGTTTATTTCAAAAAGAGCTCAAGTAAGCTTAACAATTTAAAAATTATTATATTTTTATATGGAGCCCCAAAAACAATGGAATAATATACAGTACATAACAGGATACATATTATTGTAAAGGTAATTACTATAGAGCATCAATAATCTGGATTGGAAACTGAAAACTGAAATTTTCCATGCCAATTGGCCCTCCTATTTTCTCTCCAGCAATCATTGAAATGACAGAACAAGTGTAACCTTTAGGCTAAATTGGATAATTTCTTTGCGACTGCTGAGAACTGGTGAAATAAACACAAGTTTTTCTCATACTTAGTCAATACTAGGGAGAAAAATGCTGACTAGAAGTCGGATAGGATCAGTTCGATAGAGAATAATTTGATATACATAATAATAAAACTATATAAAACCACAACACAAAAACCATTAAGATAAAAGAAAATGAAGATAAACAGGGGGAAGCACAGAAAAATTATGGATGTTTAGGGAACAATAAAGAGAGCACAAGAGCAACACTGTCCAAAAAATACAACTGGATCAAAAGTAGTTAAACTGGGCATGTACTTAGCAGAGGGTATTTTAGATTTCAAATGGATAAGATCCTATAAAGTGGTAGTTAGTTCAACAGAACCCAATTTCCAAATTCATACATCACTGGCAAAGAAATGATTAGAATGATAACCACTTCGGTTCTATGAGAAAATATTACATAAGTTGATTTAATGTTGATGTTTATGTTAATTAATTAATGAAGAACTTGATTATGGCCTCATAGAGAAAAACCTTTTGTTTTTAAATTTCAATTTTTAACGATGATGGGCTCATAAATGAGTCGAGAAGGAATCTAGCCCAGGCAAAGGTGAAAATGAAATGAAATGAAAAAATAATTTTATTCTGGGACTACTGTCTCCTAAGAATAAAAACAGAAAAACAGAGTTACAAATTTATGGGTCTTAGTCTGACATAATAATAAAAATACAAACTAATTTACTGTTAATTGCTATTTCAATTGTGCAATAGATTGAAATTAAACAGTGTACAGATGCAAGTAATTTTACATGTTAGGAGAAGTTTGAATGTGGAGTAGGTGGTGGAACAGGAGTTGTTTGAAGGAATTTGTGGACGAGGATTGACAGATGGAGGTAGGAAGTGAGGCAGCACGAATGACGAAGGATTTGCTGAAGGAGGAAGTTTTATGGGAGGGGATATACAAGTCTATAGGTTGAGACCTAGTATTGAGAGAGTGGATAGAGGAGTGTAGAGTAAGGAGTTCCAGGATGTAGGGAGGGTTTTTGGTTCTGAGGACTTGGAAAAGGAAAAACAAGGAGGAATTGTCGTCGGGAAGTAGAATAAAGCCACTTCAACTCGGTGTACCAGAGTAAAACATGTGAACGCCTGGGGATCCCGAAAATGTATCTTATGAAACAATTCATGAGTCTCTTCAGTCTCATTTCTAGCCTGGCAGATAGCCCTCCATATACCAAACAGCCGTAGTCGAAGTGGGGAATACAAAGGAGGTTAGAAGGAGCTGTCTGGTTTTTAGAGAAATACAATCACGGAATCTTAGGAGTTGTTTAAGGGCAGTTATGAATTTTCGGATAATCTGAGATATGGTTATTCCAGGAGAGGTTCTGGTCAAAAGTTACTCTTAGGAAAAAATGGATGGGACGGTTATTGAGGTTAAGTAGAGAAAAGTAAGGAAGGGAGCTAATGAGATGTCTGGACCCGATGAGAATAGCCTTGGTTTTATCTGCATTCAGTTTAATTCATTTATTTCTGCCCATCTGTTGATTCAGTCTATATCCTCTTGTAGCCTACGAGCAGCCTCAGGCATCTCAGAAGGTTGGAATGATTGGTATATTTGGAAATCATCGGCAAATAGGTGGTAACTGGAGTGTTGAATGGCGTCAGGAAGGTCACTAATATAGATAGAGAAAAGGGTCGGGGAGAGTGATGAACCCTGAGGAACACTTCGTGTTAATTGAAGGGGTGATGATGGAGGTTTGTTCGGAATTGTAATTGTCTGAGATTGATTGGATAAGAAGGAGAGGAACCATTTGTGAAAGAAGGTGGACTCATATATAAGTCTAGAGGGAATCCATATTTCAGTATTTTTTGAGAGAGAGAACATGAGGAAATCATCAAACAGTTTTGTTTCTACTTTTAGACTCTTAATTGCAAAAAAAAAAAAATAAAGGTATAAAAGTTCATATTTTTTTTTTTTTTTAAATTGTATAGGTCATTTAAAAATACATTTCAATTGTATAAAAGTTAGATAAAAAACTTTGGAAGGATTTCATAATAAATGGTGAGTAGAGGTGATGATAAGTATTCCGTTGCAGAAGCACATAGAACCATCAGCTAATGCACTCCAAAAGGCCACACTCCTTCCTTCCCACTCATCGTCACCAAAAGATAAATTACTAGTATTAATTTATAATTTGGCTGTACTGGTTTTGTTTTAAAATTTATAATAAATTTTGAAGTGAAGATTGGTTGGGGTGATAGTAAAAAATAAATAAGTATATTTATTTTTATTTTTGCCGATGTTTCCGCCCATAGTTCAGGCCTTCATCAGGGCTGGTCAGAAACAAAAGATCTGCAAGACACTTGAGTCTATGTTATTATGGGGGTAAATTTTATATGGTCACAAAAGAAAAGAACATTCCAGGAAAAATTTTCTCATAGGTGAAAATAACCATTAATACAACATAAAATAATAAAGGGGAGTTGCTCTTTAGACTCAGGCTGGAACAGTCGCAGCGATACATACTCCACTGGGTTTAACAGATAAGCTTATTCTTTTATTATATTACATTTATTAATTTATTTCCTTTTATTTTATATTTTAAAAAATGGATTCCTTAATTTTATTTAATTGTTTTTGTTTTATTTTTTCTCCAAAATTTAATCTATTTTGTTTTTTATTTATTTTAGTTGAAATATGGGAGAGTCTTTGGAACATTTCGAACTCTCTAGCCCCTTGTAAAAAAAAAAGAAAATGGGCTCGGGGTCGAATTAAACTTATTCCTGACAAAATTATTCCTCAAAAAATGGAAAATATAACACCCACGTTTTGGTTGTCAAAAGAGGTAATACGGATGACTAAAAAAATCTCACGATTTTTTATACACCAAACTATTACAGGTTTAGAGGGGAATGTAAAAAAATTAAGAGACGGTTCTCTATTAATGAAAGAATAAGCGGGCACCAGACAAACAAACTAATATCTTATGGCTTTCGGTCTTTATCCAGTACAGATAACACCGCATAATACTCTCAACAATAGTAAAGTAGTAATTTGTTTTGATTTCCAATACAAGGAAATAGACAAAATCAAAAAAGAATTAGAACCATTAATAAAAGATATAGTTAGAATCAAATCTAAAAGTAATAGAAATGTAATATTAACATATAATTATATAGTAACTTTCCCTTCACCCCAACCACCACTAACTTTACAAATGGGTTACGAAAAAGTTAGATTTCAACCTTAGATACCGAACCCACTAAGGTGCTGGAACTGCTTGGGATTCTTACACTTAACTGCAGAAAAGAATCCGTGTGTGTACAATATGGCCAGGCTAGACACGGAGAAAATGTAGGATGCACGCTGAGGCCCCTACTAAACTGCGTGAATTGCAAAAATGAACACAACATGCTTGATAAACAATATATTGCTTTGTTTTTTCACCAATAACTCCTTAACGATTCATCAAAGCAAAAAATTTATTAAATCAAAGAACGTTAAATTTTGTGTTGAACGAGTACATAAAATTTATAATTTGGTTACGTTATAAGGTATAAAACAATGGTCAATCAACGCTGATTTTTATGAAATTTGACAAATTACTATAAATGATCCTACAATATGGAAATGAGTTCCTTAAGAGGAAAAACTCATAGTATCAATCATAGTATTTGGCTGTAAAAAGTTTTCCCTTGATGACCTGTGTTAGAAATTTTGCTTTTACATGTCTAAACCCATATATACAAGTTATAAAATAAAAGCTTTTCTCATATTTTCCACAATGGATTTCCCATTTCGATCCTTAAATTACTGGCCTAATATTCTTTACATCAGCCGCCATTTTCGAAAGCAACAGCTCTGGAATGGCAGACAAGATTATATTTACTCAGAATAATAAACACTTTCGTATTTTACAATCAAATCTTCGCCTGCCATGAAGTCGATTTTGGGCCCTGGCTCCAGGGCTATTAATAAAACTTTAGCAGAAATAACTAAAAACATTATTTTTCAGATAATTTTGAAAAAAAACAGAGATTAATAAATCCAGCACAGCTGTAATAAATCAAAATACTCCTACAGAGAATAAAATCGGTTCTAGTGGTGCTCAAAACTCTTTGTGTTTATCAAATCAAGCCAACAGCAGGCTTATTACTACACCTGGCTCGGGTGTATCTGGTGACCCTTTCCTCCCCACTACCACCTTCTACCCCTACTTCCCTCCTGCCACCTCATCCCTCTTCCTCAACTTCCACTTCTGCACCACTTACTTCTGAACCCCCTCCGTCTAATCTGTTCTTCAATAATGAAATAGATGATGAGGGCTTCCAAATTCAGGGTAAATCAAAAAGAGGCAGACCAAAAAAACAAACCCACAATAAATCTTAAATTATTATTTTATTTCAAATATTTTTAATTACCTGTTGTTAAGTATTTATTATTAATATTTTTTATTTCATTTTTATTAAATTTATTTTTCTTTATTCTATCAAATACATATTACTATATGTCGTTTTTGCAATGGAATTGTAATGGTTCAAATACCCATTTTGCCTGGCCCTTCAAGAGGCACATCTCCACAGAGTCTTAATAGCTATACACTTTTTTTATTTTTTATTTTTTTTTTTTATTAAACGCCTCTGCCGTTGGCTATTAGGCCATTCGGCTTCTGGCAGCCCAGTACAACTCAATAGCTATACACAAATCTATATATTCAGAACAAATTGCAATCAACTCTCACCTTTAAACCGTTGCAGTCCGAGTCCAACGAGGTTTCACATTCTCAATTTGCAATATATATCTGCCACAAGATCGTACAATAGATACACAACACCTCTTAAGACACTTGCAACTAACTACAACTACCTCATCCTGATATTACTTTCACTTACGTATATATGTAATATATAGTAAGGGTAAGTATTGCGATCGTGAAAATTTTGGAAACTCAGTTTTCAATGGAAATACATGTTTTGAGGTCCCCTGAGTTCAAATAACTAAGTGTCGCAAAATGGTCTGTGTGTGTGTTAACAGTCTAGCCCATAAACGAAAAGTAGTACGAAACTGATATTAAGTATTTAAGGTTTGTAAATGGGCTGGATGTGACAGCAACTTTTTCGTTAAAATCGGCTAACCGGAAGTGCCACTTTATATGAACGCTGAAACACATTTTTACAATGTTCTCAAAAACGACTATAACGATTTTGATCAAACTCGGTGTATCATTGTATAATTAAGTGGTCTTTAATATCATTTAGGTCTTATCCCCGTTGATGTCACTTTACAGGGCTTAAATGCCCAATGTTCATATATGTCTTCCTCTAAAGTACCTTGAATATGGTTTATTTTAAAAAGTTAACCATTTGGATTATTTAGAGTTACGAAAAAATGCTACATATAACTTTTGAAAGAATTCGATAAATTAATAAAGGAGAAAAAAATAAAAATGCAGAAAAACCTGCATTCCTACAGACTGTAGCGCCTAAACGAATGTACCGATTTCAATGAAACTTCGCTAAAGTCATTTTCTCGATACCCTTTAAATTTATCTATATAACATACTTCAACAAAAAGAAGCTACAAAAAAAGTTACGAGGGATGTTAAAATTAAATTCCGAATAACTCAAAAATTGTACGCTTTTTTGTTGATATTGTATATGGTTTTTTAAAAGTTTATGGAATTTCCTAAAAGAACAAAAAAAATTTGTTAAAATCGGACAATTAGAAGGAAAGATATGGTTTCTAGTTATTTTCCCTGAAGAGGTGAAAATTTGGATAAATTTAAAATATATTTTTTTAATTGTTGAGACTAAAAAAACCTTTTTTCTACAGATATTTAATAAAGTGTCTTTCCTAAGAACATCTTTCATAAGAAAGTAGTACCTAAATTTATACTTTTATTCTCAGTTCTATATTACAACACTACAATCACCACTTCTGGAATCAACTTACTCATTGTCTGCATAGATAACTTTTTCAACTAAAAATATCACTAAAATGACATCACTCAAAAATGTTGAAATTGGAGTTAGTCATTCTGTGGTTTATAAAATCAGATATAGTGAATTGATTTTTATTGCCAGTCTTCCATATATTAAATAGACATTTTGTAATTATAATGGTCTTAATGACTTGTTATCTGTAAGCTTTAAGCTTTAGCTCCCTTTAAAATGCACTTCAAAAAATTTTATAATAGCCCAGCATTGCCAGAAAATAATTTCTATTCAAAGTAGAACGGTAAGTGAAAGTTGTGTGTTGCGCGCACCAGATTTTTTTTGTTGGCGACCTAAACGGACATAATCCTTTATGGGGATCCCAGAGTATCAACATGCGAGGTAGAATAATCGAAAACTTAATAGATCAGTCTAGTCTCCTCTTACTCAATATCGGAGAACCTACATTCCTCAGTTCTAGTTATGATAGTTATTCGGTTCTTGATGTTTCTCTCTGCAGCTCGCCTTATTCAGTACTATTGATTGGACAGTTTTACTTGATGTATACAGTAGTGGTCACTTTCCACTTCTTATCAAATTTAGAAATATAAATTCCACTCGCGCAAGACCGACATGGATACTCAGCAGAGCTGATTGGTCTCTTTTTACTTTGTTGGCAACACCACCCCAATCCCTCCATCTGAAATGGATGTTGAAACAGGTTTTAAATCATTACTGATATGATCATACAAGCATCTACGGCATCGATACCAATGACCTCAGGATTAGATTGCAAACTATCCGAAGAACATGAACAGATCAGCGGAGTCCCTCAGGGCTGTGTTCTTAGTCTAACCCTATTCTGCTTAACAATAAACAACTTGGGGCTCAACTTGCTCAGAGGTGATAAGCTGCTATTATTTGCAGACTATCAAGCCATTATCTGCTGTTCTGAAAACATTGCCACCCTAAAACATAAACTGTAGGATATAACTGGTCCCTATCTACTGGTCTTCAATTTTCTGACAAAAAAAAATAAATGCCTCCATTTGCCAGTAGAAAAAGAAACACCCCCTCCTCTCCTGAACTCTATCAAGGCAATACATTAGTTCCATATACAGACAAAAATTGTTTTTTTGGGTATGACATTCAACCGAAAATTGACCTGGGAGTCGCACGTTTCAGCATTGAAATCTACCAACACAAAAAGATTAAATAGACTGAGATATCTTAGTGGCACCTCCTGGGGCTCTAACAGATCCACCCTACTAAAACTTTATCACGTTTTAATTTGCTCTAAAATAGATTATGGGTGCTTCGTCTCGTTACCATGTATTAAGTAGACTGGATGCTGTGCATCAGAACCAGTATTCGAATTGCAACTGGGGTATTTCGAACCAGCACTGTTCCCAGTTTAGGCTCTGAAGCAGGAGAGCCCCCTCTTTTATTTAGAAGAAAAAACTAACAGTTAAGTACATAGTCTAAAATTCTTCCCCAACTAGACCACCCAACACATAGATACATATTCAAACCAAAGTTTTCCAAAGCTATTGAAAAAAATGAAATCAACGTTTCCGTTGTCAGAGAGAATAAGTTTAGCTACTGCATTCCTCAAAGGAATACCTCAAATCAAACAAAAAATTCATAACCCTCCTTAGATCAACAAACCACTTAAATTAATCTTAAACCTAACTCGGTTACACAAAACTAAAACTTTACCTACTAAGTACAAAACCAAATTCTCACATATCCTTCAAAAAATATCAGAACCATATTTAATCTATACTGATGGATCTAAATCGGATGAATCCACAGCGTCTTCTTTTGTCACCCATAATTCGACTCACAAAATAAAACCACATAATCTGTGCAGTATATAAACAGCCAAACTTCAAGCAAAGCCTCAGTCCTCCAATGTTTTATGACAATAACATCCCCCAAAACATTACAATATTAACTGACTCTTTAAGTTCTCTAAAAGGGATGAATAATTTCTACCCAAAATATCCAACCATCTCAGAAATTCATAAATATGCTAGAAGCTCTAGGAAAATCGGTATACATTATTAGGGTACCGAACCATGTGGGAATCGTTGGAAACGAGCTCGCAGATGTGGCAGTGAAACAAGCTCTTTCCCTTCCAGGCCATTATAACATCGCAAGATATAAGTCTTCTCATCAAAAATGAAATAATCCATAGCTGGCAATCTGGGTAGAATGAGATTCCACCAAGCAAATTAAAAGATATAAGAAAAACAGTTAAACCGTGGTCAACATTAAATCGCAATATCTGCAGAGAAGAGGTTGTCTTAACCAGATTAAGAATAGGCTACACCAATCTAACCCATTCACATCTCATTAGCAAGCAGTCACCACCACATTGCCAACACTGTAATAATACACTTACAATCAGCCACATTTTTACAGAAATGTTCTTTTTACATATCAAATATAAATGGTTTAGGACTTACACTTCCAATATCAAACATTTGAAGTGATGACAAAAACACAATAAAGTTAGTGTTAGATTTCTTAAAATCAAACAATTTGATTAATAAAATTTAAAATTGTTTAAAAATTTACTCTAAAGATAAACCAAATTAATTTGCAGGTGTTGATGACCTTGATATTTTATGCCTTAAAACCCAAACAAATAAACAAATAATAAAGGACCCATCATTTGGATACTTGTACTATAATATTTTAATGGGTACAGAGGTGTATTTTATTCAATCAATAAATTACTGACAAATTTTTAGCCACATAAAAGAAAAAGATTAAAATGAATAACAACATCAACCACTTACACATTTGAATCAGAACAACTCATGAAAAATGAATTCCCTGTCGGTTGAAAGCTTCCAGGACTTTTAAGAAGTCATCAACATCCATAGTTCTTGCACGAAGATTATTTGCATTAACTTCTGTCAATACAGAATTAATCTTTTCCAACATATCAAAGCCTGGTGGTAAAGCCTATAAAATAACAATCAATTCTAAAATACATATTATTGATGAAATTTCATTATTTAAACTGGTAATAGTAAAATATTTTAAAATAATTTACATTCCATAAGAATAATAATTTATTATTATTATATAAAAATATACAGAAGTAATTATAATTTCTTCTGTGTGTATATATATGCAATGTAATAGAGCCATAACTCTCCTTACAAAACTTCTTAACACTCAATAATTTCAGATATTGAATTAAAACTTTTAAAAAATTTAGTAACAGAACAAAATAATAGTTATTTTCTAAGCATGTATTTGTTTTTTTAATTTATTTTAATTTTTAACCATTTCCACCGATCATGTATCTACATACAGTTATTTAAGTGCCATTTTGGCATATTGACCAACTGCAATGACAATCACAATTAAGTTTCATCCAACTTTGATGGATCTGATTCAAAGAAAGAAATATAAGTTATCATGTGCCTCCTTACCCTAAAACAGCCACACTCCTTTGTTCCATGGATCTAGAGTGATTTTTCACTGGTTTTGAATCCAAGTGTTCAAACTTATGTTGGTAGGAAGATATAAGGGCCAATTATGGAACTATAAATAGCCAACTCCTGCACTGTGGAAATTAAGGTTCATAGAAACTTAATGTTAGAAACAGGCTACAGACTGTTAGACTACAGAGTTCTCTCAAGTAGTATATATACATATTACTTGAGAGAATTTGTTTAAAAGTTTTGCTCAATAGTTAGCAAAAGACCACATAGGAGATTAAAAACCAAATGGAAAAATTAAGTCAACAACAATGCTGAAAGGCAACATGTAGCAAAATGGAGAACTGTCCAAGATAGGAAGAGAAGGTTGGTTTGGGCAAGACAAGGTCTGTGAAGACAACAGAAAAAGATAAAAACAATTATTTATTTAATATGATTTGTTTCAATTGAAATTGTAAACCATGAAGATCTTTGGTTACAATGTGGTCTTCTTACAGACCTTCGTTTCCTGCAGGAAAATACAACAGCTATATGAGATTACCTAACCTAACCATGGAAAAAAAATTAAAATACATAGGTTCCAAGGCTGAGGAAAGATAGGATTAATAATGCCACTGAAAACCTTGATAACAGACATCACTGTTATCATACATATACTGTCATATACACAATGGGATTATACCATAATAATCATGGATCAATTTCATTAAAGAAGTTTAAAAACAGGAATAGAATAAAAAGTAAAATAAATTAACTATGAAATTACTAAGAGAACTAATATATTTTTATCTTTTTGAAGATATGCAAAGAAAATTAAATCTTCCTCCTAGGGTAAATTTTTTATTACTTATGTTTTCTGCATACATACTCAACATTTCGGGGCTCTGCCCTGAGTCAGGGTAACAGTGCAAGATTAGAATATTCCTAAATATAGATATAAACGAAAAAAATATTGTAAAGTTAAAGTTCCCAAAATTTTTATTAATTATAGTCTTTCCCAGATAGCATTAACATAATTAATTTACAGTCTGGTAGTCTACACTAGCATTTTCTGGATATCTTCCATTCAAATTTCGCTTAGACCAGTTCAGAATCTCTATATCATTTTAAAATCATTATAAAATAACATTTTTATAATAAATATCAAATTTAATAATGAAGAAGGATATATTTGTTTTACTTTATGCTATAATGTACTACAATTATAAAAATAAAACAATATTTTGTACTTACTATATTATTTAGTGAAGCATAAGATCTATAATTCTTTTCCAGCACAGCAATTACAGCTGTTTGTTTAAATAGTGCACTTAGTTGTTTGTTTTTTCTTATAAAAACTATCCTGGTGAAACCATCCCACTCTTTAAAATTGATGTCTGGTGGAGGGTTTTTTGGTTCTATTCTGACAACATTTGAATCAACTTTCGGTGGAGGCTTGAAGTTATTTTTTCCTACCTGAAACCAAATCAAACTTAAAAAAAAAAAAAAAAAAAATATATATATATACATATATTTCAGACACAAATTGTAAAAGTAATAAAGTGTTTTAACATACTTTCATAAGTATATCAACTCTTGCTAAAAGTTGGGTATTTATTGATAATCGACAATATAATTTTTCTCCAGGTTTAGCTATGAGTCTGTAGGCAAACTCTTTTTGGACCATAAGAACTGCACACCGAAAAAAAGGTCTATGCAATAAAAGTTTAAAAATTAATGGAGATGAAATTTGGTATGGAATATTAGCAACACATATGTTAAAAAATGGTAATTCAGATTTTAACACATCACCAACTTTTATTTCTAATTTAGAATGGTAGGGTGTGCTTAGGAACCTCTTTTCTAATTCTCCAACAAGCCTGAAAGAAGAGAGTAAAAAGTATAAGAAGGGGGAAATGGAAAACCAATTAATAACAATATTACTTATCAATAATATTTATTTTTTAAATTAAATTTTATGTTTCTACTGCCCTACAATCATTTATGTCCAAAACAGTTGAATTCATAAATAAAATTTGTATTTTTGAAAAACAAAAATGTGTATGATAAATAAAACAATGCCTGAGTAGGGAAATCAGTCAATAAATTGAAAAATTCTAAAGAAAACCAATTTGAAAATATGAATGAGTTATCAGTACTAATGGATTTGAAATGAAAGTCATTAATATTTTTTAATTGATCAAATTTGATTATTTCATTGAAATTTCCTTCTTTGTATTGTAAATATAATAATTACTTTACTGAAAACAACAAATTAGATTAGACTTTATTAGCGAAAGATCATACTCCAGTGCACATCTCCTTAAGAAGTATATTGATCAGTAGCACAACAAACCATAGGTTATATAAAACTTTAATAAGACCGGTTGCAATCTAACACGTGTGAGACATGTTTATTAAGTGTAGAAGCAGCTATGAAAATGGATATTTTTAAGTAAAAATTATTAATATTTGTCCTGGGTCCAATAAGAGACAATGGGAAACGGTGCCAGTGAAAAAATAATAAAATATATCAAGTATATGAAGATGTAAGGATTTCTGACTTCATAAAAATACATCCAAGGTGGTTGGGTCATTTGGTCAGGATGGACTAAGAGGATAGCCAAGAAGCTGTACACTTGCCATCTGGAAGGAGTCAGAGGAAGAGCACTTGGAAGATGGAAAGACAACGTAAATGCAGATTTGAGTGAATGGAATGTCTCTAAGACAAGTTGTAGACTGAGAAGCCTGGGCAAGAGTGTTGGAACAGGCTAAGGACCGCCATGTAAATTACAAAAATTTACATGGCCTAATTTACTCGGAGTATCTTGGGGTTTTTGTAATTTATTATCCATTGGAATACGTTTCATACAATTAGTAATATATTTTTCTCATTTTACACCAAAAAACAAATCAATTGATATATAATACCTTATAAATCCATGCAAAGCAATATCTAGAAACAATAATAAAAAAATAAATAAATAATAAAATTTTATAATTTTTTTTTATTCTTGGCTCCTATGGTGTATTAGCAAGAACTCTTGGACATTGGTCTAATATTTTTTGACCCATTAAAAAAAAATTTCATTGAAATCAGTGAACATATTTCCATAACATCCCCATGTTAATAATAAATAATATAACCATTAATGTCAAAATAATTCAAATAAACTGTAAACAATTCGGAAAGTATAATTGTTATATTCTTTGGAACGTTTAAATAAAATGAAATAATTAACTTAAACAATACTTCAGCACTAGAACAATAAAATAAATACTCTGAATATAAAAATAACAAACCTGACATCTATTTCATAAGCCAGAACTCGTTTTCCTTTCTCAAGTAATTTAGCTGTTAAATTTCCAGTGCCAGGACCTATTTCCAAGACAATATCCGAAGGATAAACTGATGCTTTATCCACCATACCAGTGATAATTGCAGGATTTTTTAGTATATGTTGACCAAAATTTTTATTGAACATTATACCTAAAATTAAATATTAATCTCATTAATAAATTGACGCCATTATTAATTTAAAACTGTATGGTTAATAATAAAATAAAACTTCATCACCCTGCAACAAATTTTACAATTTTTTACTTTGTGCAGAGTACAAAACTGTTACATTGAGATCGATATATAATAGTAAATACAATCAAGAATTAGATTAGAAACTAGAGCTCGCTGGCACCACTCTGGCCGCATGACGTCGCTTGCAGCTTTGTGAAACTTGTGCCCGCCTATCTGTAACCTTTATCGGCGATCACCCTGGCAATAATTTTACTATTGTCTGCAGCATATCGACAAGGTTTTAATAAAATATTGAATATTTATTTCAATAAATATCTAATAATTGATTGAACATAAATATTATATACCTAGGTTATGCCTAGTTATAACCCATACTGCTTTTAATTAATTTAAAATGTGTTAATCTATTATAAAAACCCTTTATAAAATTAATAACATTCATTAAACTAGTTTTTTGCCTTTTATGTAGAAACATGTTTTAATAGTTTTGGAAATAATAAAGATGTTTGTTACTTTATGTATGCATTTCTTTTTTATTAATGAATTTTACATTTATTTTTTTAATATTATAAACAGTAACCTATCCGCAATTAAATAAAAACATGGTGTCCGACAACTAACATATAACCTATAAATGTACCCGCTGGTGATAAAAGTTGGGAACCCCTGGATGAGACTAAAGCTTCAAAACATAATTACATGCAAGGCAGGGCAAAATATTTGTTGAACAACTCAAAAACTATAATAATATAATTAGAATGAAAAAAAAAAATCAGATATCATTCCAATGATCTACCAAATTTAAAAAACATTGGTAGAAATGTTCAAACTGAAACTTAACTAACCATATTCACATAAAATATGAATATTTGGATGGACAACCTATGATAAGAACTGTTTAAAGATGGAGGAGACAACTTAAAAGCCAAGCTACTACAACTAACCAAGAAAATATGGGAGGAAAGGATGGCAGAGGCTTCGAACATGGGACTAATCTGCCCTATCTTAAAGAAAGGTTCCATTTATGAGTGTAGTTTTTACTTACCGCTCTAGTTAAATATAAATTATTTTCTGGCAATTTTGGGCTATTATAAAATTTTTAAAAGCTTAAAGCATAGAGTTGGGAGCGGGGTGGCTCAGTGGTAGGGCACTGAGCTTCCAATGCAAAGGTCCCGAGTTCGAACCCCGGCTCATGGCAGATAATTTATTTATATGTTTCATTGGCCGTGGAGCGACCTTGGGTCAGGAGTCCCTCCTGGGGCACACCCAGCCTCTATAAAGTGGGTACCCTTAATTAAATAATTAATTAAGGGGGAAAACCTGTCGGTTGAGTGTGATTTCGGTCAAATCACCTCCTTGCACAACCGTTGACCTAGAAACAGTGCTTTCCCTAAATAGTACTGAACCCCAGACCCTTCATGGGTTGTAGTGGTACAGGTTTTTTAAAGCATAGAGTTAACAAATCATTAATACCATTAAAATAACAAAAACCCAACTTATTATGTTGACAGTTGATTATGGATCCGTCGCTTATGAATTGTATGACTAATAATTATTGAACTGTTTTGTTTTTTTTCCCCATTGCAATGTTTAATAAAATGGAATTATGAAATCTGCATCGCCTGTCATAGATAGGTCAAACATTGTAAGTTCGGATATCACAAAGGGAAAATTCAACAAATTATTCATTAATTTTATTTTCTAAAATTTTACATGACGATTTTTCAGAATAAACGGATGATAGATACCTAATTATTTAAATATAATATCAGATTTTGAGTTATTAAACTACAGTAAATGTATTTAAGGTGTTATATCCATGAAATATTTTTATATTTCACACAAATACAATGAAATAGTATTTTAAGCAATGTTATTACCTTGATTCGGAGGATTTTAAATACTTTTTTTTTCAAACTCAAAAAAAAAAAAAAATTTAAACGTTTACATTTAGAAAGGAAATTCCATTTAATTTCCTTGGAAACGTGTGATTTACATTAAATAATATTAGATTTTAGAAACTATTATTTATATTTTTTTCCTCACTCTCCGTTAACTTCTAAAACTTAATTTATTAGATATTATTTTTTTCTAAAATTCTCCACTTTCCAACGATATATTATTCGTATACCTTCTGACTATTATTTTTGGAGATTCATTTTTGACCTGGATAAACATTTTTCTTTTTTTTTTCTCCTTTATTCAATTATCTAATTCTTTCCAAAGTTATATTTAGCCATTTTTTATAGTTACTGTCAATAAGAGAGTTATTTTTTAAAACTAAACAAAATTAAAGGTATTTTGTACTTAGTAGCCCTGTAAAGTAACATACATGTGAATAAGACAGCTGATATTTAAAAATTAATGTACTGATTTATCGAGTTTAATAAATTTTTTTAGCCATTTTGAGAAAATTATAAAAATGTGTATCACCATTGATATAAAGTGGCACTTCCGGGAAGCCGATTTTAACGAAAAAGTTGCTGTCACATCGGAACCATATACAAACCTTAAATAGGTAAAACCAATCTCATTTTCAATTGAAAACTCAGATTTGAAAATTTTCCCAATCGCAATAATTTTCCTTACTATATAGATAAGTGAAAGTAAAAAATCACATAAAATGATTTTCAAAGAAATAGCAAATCTGCTACTTTGGAAAAAGATAACTCAGGCAAAGAAATTTCATTGCCGTAAATGGCCGTGTAGAGATATTATATAAGCTTTACTACAATACATTAACAAAACTAACAGGAATATCACATAGAAAATCATTGAACACATTATAAACAAAGGCTACCATATATCAGCATCCGGGCAAACTCAAGGAGTTTCCTGTTGAAGAACAGAACTTCTATATTATTAGAATATCACATCTCAAATCAAAACAGGATTAAACAAAATTCTGTCATTATTGCCCATCATCGAGAATCTGTAAACTTTGCCTTACCTTGACTTACAATAATGTACATTCATTTAAATAAAACACACTAGTTGTCACTCATAAGCAACTTACATGTTAGTTTCAGAAAAGACTAAAATTAAGAAACTGGTGACTGATCCAGATTAGTTTAACACGCAATAACCAAATGAGATTAATTCAAAATTTACCAAAACAAACTCTCCTCTGCATTACCATTACAATTTAAACTATAAGGTTCAACCAAACAATTTTCACAAACGTCAAATCTGGTTGACATTTGCACCAAGAACACATCAATCACACTTTATAAAGATCACAAAAGTAGCAACTTTACCAACTGATTACAAAAGTATATGGGGTAACCAATCTCGTGATCTTACATAGAAATTAATTAAAGAAGGTAACTGATGACAAACTGAACAGAATCCATCTCCAATGAAAAGGATCCCAGGTTGGTTAAGTCCTGAAAAACTAAAATTCCGTAGGGAATTAACTAATCAGAGTGAGCATAGTAGTAATAAACATAGATGTCTAATATACCAGGCTAGTAATGCCTTAATATCACACTCAGTACGGCAGATGTGATCTTTACCCAACTCTCGAAGAGTAGTAAACTAGCACAAATTAAATAATTCGGTATCTAATTAAACCAGTAACAGCACTATTCAATTCCTCAGGCACAACTGACATAAGTTTGAACACTCGTCATATAATTAAAATAATTGTTGACTAACTAAATGGGCAAAATATGCAACTTACTTTATCATCATAACATTACCTCAAGCCTCAAATGCTTTGGGCACTACCCAAAAGTAATATAAATACATAATACCTTCAGAACATTGCTATATTTTCATATAATTTAGTTCAGTTATAATACTATAACAACAAATAGTTAAATAATAATAGATTTTAGTTAAATAGCAGAACATGCAAAAAATCATTTCAAATGAATGTAATAAAATAACATAAAACAAATATTAATTTTGATTAAACCATAAAAAAATCTGTTCTCAAGAATAGAAGGAAACATAAATTTAAAATTGTAATTATAGAGTTAACCAGGAGATTACTTTACCAAATAAATAGAAAACCTATTGAGACTATATAATAAACTCACCATGTTTTTCAACAGATTTATGAATCCTGTTCTTTTTATCAACTTTAATTTTACCCATTTTGTCAAGATAATGTCTTTAAAAAAAAAAAAATAAAAAATATTACTACTTGTCTAATGTTTAAAATTCACCACGTGAGAGACACGCAGAGTTAAAAACATGTAATCACAAACGAATCCTTCAAAGCTATGAGCAAGTTTCTGTATTCAGCGCTGTGTTGGTCGAGAGTATTACAAATAGCTTATATCTATATCGTTCAGAAAAACTTAAAGAGAACTTAAGTCAGGGTAGAAATTGAGGAAAAAGACTTCGTTTTTTAATGACTATAATTATTTATCTAATAATCGTTGGCTTGCAATATAAATCATATATCATTTAGTTGTTGCGATATATTTGTTAGCAAGTAAAAATATTATAACCTTTTTGTACTTACAATTGTGAATTATTTCATGTTGTATTTTAACTAAATTAAAGCGTCTTAAGTGTTCTGTAGTTTTCATTATAATTTTTATTTAGGTCAATACATAAAAACAAAAGTTCAGTTCACAATAAACAATATCAAAAGTAAAAAAAAAATATGAAAATTATTTTAATCTATCAAAATTCGCGATTGAAAAATATAAATTAAAGGTATTAATTAATTATCTTTCTCGAACAGGGCTTTTTATAACGTTTTTTTTAACTCGAATATTGAGGCTTATTGTGTGTCGTACCATACGTTTTGATAGCCCTATATGTTCTGGCCAGAGACGGCAACGTGTCAACATCTGCTTATCATTATCTCCCATAATATCATATACTTAGTCCTTTTTTTTTTTCTAGTATTAAAGCTTTAGTTACATTTTCAAATATTTTAGTAGTTTTTCGATATTTTCACATTATTCAAACAAGGAAATAGGAAGAGTGGAGGGCCTTTTGTTGAAGATAATCCTAACAGCATTAGACGGCGTTTACATTTACATCACAACATAAACTACTTCCGTATTTACGTTTACCTGTAAGTAATATTTTATAAACTTTACTCGAAATGGTCAAATGTAATATTTGCAACCCTGCCGTCACCCGTGACGATAAATATAACAAATGTTGCTTCACAAATGCAAAGTTATTTATCATGGGAAGTATTATAGTTTATTAGACAAAGAAATTGAAGCCTACAGATTTAATAAAAAAAAGTGGGTCTGTTCGACGCGTGACCAACCAAAAATATCTGCGGCTCTAGTAGGCATTATCGGGGCCGGATTGGGCATCAGGCTTACGGTGGAAGAACTGGATGTGGTGTAACACCGCAGAACCAGGAAAGATGACCTCCGACCGCCGCCTGTAATCGCACATTTCATCAATCAGTCAGTTAGAGGTGAGCTGATCGCGAAAAGAAAAGTAAAGAGGGACTTCTCAACGCTCGATATCGGGTGTCAGAAAAATGACTACCACCGAATATATCTGAACATAGAAATAACTCCCACCAACAGACGCCACTACTGGCTTGTCCGGATCTCGACGTGTTTGTCTGACTGCTCAGGTATCGTCAATATTCTGCCCTCTCCAGAATGTTATTTAGTACAAATGATCTCAATTAAGTCACACCTTTTCGTCTTAAAGGTCATATCATAATTTTCACTTATTCTTTTACTTATTTATAAGAACTCGTTTTTCATTTATTTTCTCTATATATACATTTCTTTGCTTTATTTTTGTTAATTCTCGATGTTACTTAGTATATCTTATCTTTTCCTGACTCTCTCCGCCATTCTGACTGTTCTCTGTGTCAAATCCTTTCCATGTATAGTATCCTAACCACCTGTCACGTTAACTCCTAATCCCTTCTTGCTCATTACAATGAATTTCCGCAGTACTTCACACAAAACTTCTACCGTATTATCGTGATATCCGAAACCTGGCTAAAACCTTACATTCCGTCCTCTTCTGTCTCCCTTCCTAGCTACAACCTCCTCCACCACGATCGGGTCAACTGGAATGGAGATGGTGAAGCTATTTTTGTCCATGATAGACCTGGGTCGTCGATCACATCACACCCTCCGACCATACCCAAAGTCTCCAAGTATCTTGCCGTCGAAATTTCCTTCTATACTACCACACTCTTTTATACCGTAATATATCGCCTTCCTCTCGTCCCGTTTGATCCTCTCTTTGAATCAACCCTGTTTAACTTCGTTGATCTCTACTCTAAAATAATCTAGAATCTATCTGGAAAACCTATTTTTCTCGCTTCACCTCTTCATCATCCCTTTTCCTCCCAATCACCACAACTGCAAGTCCGACACCTGGTTAGTCTTCTTCATTATAGACTCCCCTCAAAATATCCTCTCCTCTTGTCAACTGTCAGTATCTTTTCTATATCTTTCTATAATATCAAAACCCCTCTTATTCACTCTAGAACCTTTACTTTCCTCCATCTGAAGAATCTTCCCACTGAAAAGATACTACCTGATCTTGAATCCTTAGACTGCTCCTACATCGACTCCATGGTTGGTATTCTTACTTTCGATCTTCGCAGTATCCATAATATCTATGTCCCTATAAAAACCTCTACCTTTCGTCGTCATCCTGCACCTTGGATATGTCAAGAAATTAAAGATTTGCAGAAGAGAAGCGATGCTGCCCGCAGAAGCTTTAGGCGTACTAGACTTGCAGATTACTTCCAAGCGTTTAAGGTGCTGCGGAACTTGACACAATCCAGGATCCGACGAGAAAAAATCATCTTACTTCCATGAAGCCTTTTCATCAGCTCCTGATATCAAAACTAAATGGTCACTCCTTCGAAAACTTTCCCTTTGTGAACCCTCTAAATCTGGAATTTATACCTGACACCTCACTAGCCTTTTCAGTATCACCTGATGCTTTAAACTCACATTTTATACTGTCACCAATACCTCTTCGCGGCCTTCCCCCTCCGGTTTCTCTCCAGGGATATCATTTCACGGCGATGACTTTTACTTTTTCTACATTTCTTCCACCGACCTTTTATCCACTGTAATGAAATCCCATACCAATTCCACAGGCCCAGATGGCCGCAGACTCTTGAATGAACGTTCCTTATTAGCCCGCTTCGTTTTCTTCTGGAATTCCTTTCCACATAACATCCGTCATGCCTCTTCCCTGTCATTTTTCAAATACCTCCTTTTCCAATATCTCCTTACGCCCCAAACAGACGATTCGCAACCATAAATTTCATTTTTGAATTGAATTTGTGAGAAGTAAGTGGTGGTGCCTACTGCTTGAGTCAAAAGGTATTCCATGTGGGGACAATTGGAAGGGGGTGAGATATCTAGGATTCGGGATTTTAGGCTATTATGGACGTAAAGATCCACACCACCCCACCCCCCCCCCCGTTCGTGTAAAGGTGTGATTGAGTAAGGAAACCGAATAGGAAGGAATGTGGGGCTTTAGCCATGTTTCGTAACTGCAATAGTATCGTAAAAAATACAGGTGGAATATTGCTGAAATTCGTCGAAATGAGCTGGTAAGGATTGTGAATTAACATGGCAAAGGTCAGGACACTAGACATGTTAGTAGGCGTTGATGACCTCAGGTTTTTATGCCTCTAAGCCCTAAAGAACAACAACACCTAGACTTGTTGGAAAGTGAATGGAGAAATATGATGAAAGGGCTCTGAAATTTAACGAATAAAATTTCAAAAGAAACAAATAATGGTTAAATATAAATAATAATAATAATAATAAACAAAAACAGCAATGCTTAAAAAAAAACATGAGAAAATAAAAAATTATGTCAGTTGTACTAGAGAAAAAATAATGATAAAACAGTAAAGTAATACGGTAAAGTGATTTATAATAGACAACGCTAATCATTTTCCAATTATGACCATCAAGTTGACGAATGTCATACCGTCATCAGAAAATGTCAAGATCTTGTGGCTGATCGATGTAGATCACCGGCTGTCCACCTTCTTTTCTGCAACGAACTCTACCGCCAGCAAATCATAAGTATATTAATTTGCGTACTGACGGGTGAGCCAGTACAGACATCTATTCATAGGATACATTTCTTCTCCAAGATAGACCCGGTGGGAGTAATTTTCTTGCCAACCAATATCCCTGGTAGAAAAGTTCGTTTTTACCTTCTTCTTTGTACCAACTCGTCCCGTACAGAATGCCTCACAAAATGCGATCATGGGTGATGGTTGAGGATCATATTTCTTGGCCTCCGTCGCTCCGAAAAGTCGAAGTCTTCTGCTCTGATCTTAACCCTGAGGCCGGCTCCCACGCTTGCTACCAAGATCGAGGGAGCCTCTCGCGTGTACCGGGATGCCGCGAATTTCTATTGATCAATAAAATAGACCTTAATCGGCTTTGCTAACACGCACCTCAAGTTCGCTCACTCTGGATTTTAGCATCTTATTTTCTGAGGTGAGTTCTTCCTGGCGTTTCGCTTGGGCTTCAAGATGTCCTTATATTTTTGTGAACCTCTCATTCAACTCGAAACTGAGTTCACCATACTTCTCGAGCGACGTTTTTAATTTTTTTATATCCTCATTGACCTGTTCACCGAGCTTGTTAACGGCCAGGAGAATATCCGATGAGGAGGGTTCTCTGGAGTCGTTTCTGGATGGACTGGCTGACTTATCTCTAGCTGGGGAAGCCTTTTCACCCTGAACACAATTTTTACATACCCATTTTTTTTTTTTTTGCGATTTTATAACTTCACTCTCTTTTTCACTGTGATTGCAACATTTGCAGTGAAATATTACGCGGCATTTATTAGAGCTTAAATTAGATTTGTCGTCTCTCAAGATAGGGCAGTTACAGGTTGAGCATTTTATTGAAAGATAAAAATATTTACTTACGAAAGGAAAGTGTTGTTTATCAATAAAGGCGTGCTGATGGTCTTTAATACTCTCCGGCTTAAGGGAATTAGCTACTTCTCTTCACTTTGCAGGAGGAGGTGGTTCACGAACTTTCTTCTATGTATTACGATTCGTAAATAAATATAAAAAGCAACTATGGGAATAACTATAAAAAATTTATGAAATAGATTACTTTCTGTAAAAAGTGACTTAGTTTCACGGGAGTGATGTGAACTGTATGCAGTCTCTGGCCAGACTGATGCATTATGTATATAGTATACAGTATAGTGCATTATTTAGTTTCATCAGTTTGTTACTTTGTTTGTATATTTG